AGGTCTCGAGCTTTAAAAGCTACTGCCTAGGAGTCTCTTCCTCTCGAAGAGAGATTAGCTTTACGGCACTAACGGATTCCGTTATCGCCGTACGAGCAGCCGTTTATAGCTTCGTTTTATAGAGGTATTCCTTTCGGTAACTCTCGTAGTCGCCTAAGGCAGCAGAAAAAGCTCTCTATTATATAGAGGTTAGCTCGGAGAAGAGGGTAGCTCCCTCTATAAAGTCCGTTGCCCTAGGATAAAGAGGGGGCTCGAGAGGGTCCTACTTATTAGAGAAGACTAAATTATAAATAGTTCTATCTATACGAGCCCGTAGCTCCTTTACCTACTTATCCTAATCTTAGGGATCTATAAGAATCGTCCTACGGACCGTAGGGACGGTAGAGGAGTCGTTTTTCGATATTATTACGGGGAAGGGTAGAAAAATTAAGTAAAAATCGGCTTTTCTAGTAAGAGGGGTAAAAGGAAGCTACGAGGGATATAAAAAGGGTGCCTTTTATAGTAGCCGGAAGGTATAGGAATTCTATTCCTCCCGGGCTTATAACTCTCGCGAAGAGAGATATAAGAAGTATATAAAAAGGCACGAAGGTAAAATTAAAAGTAAGGGGTCGGACAGGCAGGGCAGAGAGATTTGATTCTTACGGGAGCAGCAATTACGGTAGGGGAGTAATTATTGTATTGCCTTAATTATCCTTCTTTCCTCTATCTAACGCCCCCCTTTATACCTATCTAGCATCTTAATTAATAAAGAAGATCCTGCTTAAAGAAGCTACTAATGTCCTTTCGACTACCGAGCTTTTTGCCGGTTTTTTCCCCTCTTTTCTAGCCGTTGCCGGCACATCCGTCTTATCTTTCGCTACCTCTATAGGAAGCTATTGCTACTTCTACTTCCCCTTATACCCCTACCCTCCTTTCTATACCTCTTTTTAGCTCCTTCTTCCTTCTTCTATACCGGGTGTTTTTAGCTTCCTTAGTCCCTCGTGCTAAGGGATATCTCCGAGAACTACGAAATTAGGCCACGCTTCGCGACAATAATAATATATAAAATAACAAGCGATTCTTACTCTATAATATAGGATTTTATTTATAATTAATATACTACTTATTAGCTTATATAATCGGGAGAGTATATTATAGCTACTTTATTTATAGTAGGAATATAATTCCTTATAGAGGTAGGCCTATTAATAGTTAGAGTTAGGGCATTTAGTAAGGTAATAGGGGTATAACCCTCGCTAACGTTAGGTCCTAGACTAAAAGTCTCCTAGGACTAAGATTCCCCTATACCTTTCTTAGCTTTCTTCGCTAAGGGGGAACTAGCGTCGCTATAAGACTTCTAGGCCGATCGCTTATACTTCGAGGGCGAACCTACCGCTACCTACTCCTATATATAGCGTAGGAAATCGGCGTTATAGTTCTTTACCTTCCTTTATATAAAAGGTACTATTATTAATAAATTATCGATAAAAAGTAATATAAAAAGGTATAAGGGATTAATAAAAAAAGGCGTAAAACTTTATAGTAATTATAAGTAGAAGAGTTAAAGAAGAAAAGAAAATAGAAGATATAGGAGATATATACGCACGCTCTTTATATTATAGTTACGTAGCCGATATATAGGTAATACCGTAACGGTTACTTAGCGGTAACCGCTAGTATAATAACTATTAATATTATAGAGCATAGACTAATATATACGTATATAAGCGTATACGCGCGATATATAACCGAAACTACCTCTCTTCCTAACCGAATATATATAGTATAGCGAAAGTAATATATATTAAAGATATAGCTAAGACGTTTATATAGGAAGGGAGATAATTATAAGAGCGCTACTAAGAGGTATAGGCTAATAAAGCACTTAGGTATATAATACTAATATATTAGTAGGGTATTAGTAGGGAATCGTGCTTACCCTACTTATATATTATAGACTACTTACTATTTTAATAAAAGAGGAAAAATCCCTCTTCTTATAAGCTTTATTCTTACGATAAGGAGAATATAATATATATAGCGTAGTACCTTTAGCTATCTCTACTACCTAACTAATTATACTATAATATATATTCCCTTATAGCCTAGCCTATTATAAAGATATATTCGATAATTATAGTTTAATAATACGATCTAAGCTGCTTCTTAATAGCCTCCTTCTTTTCTAAGCTCCTTAGTACTAGCTTATTATAGCTAAGGCCCTTAAGGATACTTATTTTATTTATATTAATACGTGATTTTAGTAAGATTACCTATATAGCTAGTAGCCTAAGTAATTAAAACTATTCCTTAATCCTATTAATAGAGGCGCATTTAATATAAGTAGAATTAAGAGATTTACCTTTAATTATACTAATCTCTAGGTTTTATACTAAAAAGCTCGAAACCTAGTATTTTCTAAGCGAGCGGGGGTCTCTACTAGCTATAATAATACGGCCGGTAAATTCCCTAAGTTAATAATATATTAAAGGTAGCCTAAGGGCCGCTTAAGTAAGAACCTAGTTATAGAGGTATATTTCTTACTCTTAACTAAGCCTTTAAGATACCTCTTTTACCTCCTTTATAAGTAAGGCTCCTTTAAGACGCGTTTAAAGGGTTATACTTAAAATACCTTACTTATAACTAGCTTAAAGCTAAGGTATACTATTATTAATTCTCGCGAAGAGAGATATAAGAAGTATATAAAAATGCACGAAGGTGAAATTAGGAGTAAGGGGTTAGACAGGCAGGGCAGAGAGATTTTATTCTTACGGGGGCAGTAATAAAGGTAGGGGAGTGATTGTTATATTGCCTTAATTCTCCTTCTTTCCTCTATCTAACGCCCCTCTTTATACCCGTCTAGCATCTTAATTAATAAAGAAGATCCTTCTTAAAGAAGCTACTAATGTCCTTTTAACTACCGAGCTTTTTGCCGGTTTTTCCCCTCCTTTCTAGCTGTTGCCGGCATATCCGTCTTATCTCTCACTACCTCTATAGGAAGCTATCGCTACTTCTGCTTCCCCTTATGCCCCTACCCTCCTTTCTGCACCTCTTTTTAGCTCCTTCTTCCTTCTTCTACACCGGGTGTTTTTCAGCTTCCTAGGTCCCTCTTACTAAGGGATATCTCCGAGAACTACGAAATCAGGCTACGCTTCGCGATATTAATAGCTTCGAGCGCTTCTTATAGTTAATTTTCGGTATATTTAGAAAGATAAGGTATTACTAATTTAAATTATATTTATTTTATAATTATTAAATAAGAGATATATAATAAAATATAGTTATAATATAATAGGTAGTTAATATAATAGTAATATAAAGAGGTATTAAAAGTAAAAAGTATTAAAAGCTAGGTATATTAACTTAGCTAGCTCGTTCCTAGTAATCCCTTTATAGCTAAGGTATTACTATAGTTAGATAGTATAGGTTAGGTTAAGCCTTTTAAGTAAGCGCTATATCCTTATAGTTATATCGAAGTAGCCTTCTAGCTTAATAATTACTACCTAGCTATCTATAAAAATAAAGACTAGTTAAGGAAGTAAAGGGTTCTTTAATAACCTTAGTAGTAGCTAGGGTCTTTTAAAAAGGTCTTTTAAAACCCTATTATTATTATTATTAAGATTATACTAGTAACCTATCTAAAGGTATCTAAAACTTCGGCGTTAAATAAGAGGGAAAAACTAAAGTACTTAAAAGAAAGCTATCCCCTCTTTTTTAGCTAGTCCGCCCTTATACTAAGTTATAGTTATAATATATAGGAATCTTATACTAGCTATCGTAGGTATTAGTTTTTTTTTTTAGTTAGTCGGAATTATATTAGCCCTACTATAAAGTAACCTTAGAAAGTAACTCCTTTATATATATAAGGTATATAGCGTTAATCGGTAGTACGAGCGTTTTTAGTTAATAGTAAATTATATAATTATCTTTAACCTTATCCTATAATAATATCTTCTTAGGCTTTACCTTATTTTTCTATTATAAGGCTTAGCGGGCTATTTTTTTATTAATACTAGCCTTTAAACGGGCCGGTAGTCGGGTTATTATACTAGCTTCGCGCTATACTTATTAAGTTACTAGTTATAGCCCTAGGCTTTTATTTTCCCGGTTAAGGGGCCTAAACCGGGGTTAAGGGGAGGTCCTAATAAAATCGTTGCTAGGTCTAAGTAAGCGAGGTCCGGGCCGGCCTACTTATAGCGGGGCTAGACTACTAGTATATTTATAAGCGCTTTTAAAAGCGCTAATTAGCTAATTAATAAGTAGGTTAGCGTAGTCTACTAGTCCGACTAAAAATTAATCGTTCCCCTAGCCGGATTCGAACCGACTCTAGCGTTATAGCTAGCAGTTCTCTTAGGTATATAACTACTATACTACGAGGGTTTTAAAACCCTATAAATCGCGAATAGCTCCGCGATAGCTACTTTAATATAAGGGCCTAACTTAGCGCCGAATTCGCATATAAACTCGACTTAGACCGTAGACGTCGCATTTTATCCGCTCTTCCTTAGTCAGTTCTCACCTTCTCCTTGCCTTTTATTGACACGTTGTGCTGCATGACATGACACGTTGGCGCCCGCTCCCAGGGTTCCTAGGTATCGCCCCTAATCGGCCGTCGCCCAATGCAAGCTACTGCGGGAAGGAATTGCCGGTTAGTGCCGCAACCACCACAAAACCTTCAAATAGACAAATAAATCCCCCTATAACATTTTTATCGTTAACTCAAACGACGAACTTTCGTTCCTCAAGGCTCTTTGCGCGAGCCACGACCGCCGATCTCCTATGCGGCAGTCATCTCCTCAGGAACCCGATTCCCAACCAGGTCTCTCCTCTGCACTTTCGACACGAGCATGATGCTGTCGAGCGTTAGGCACTCCCCGCGTGCCTCCAAACTGTACCTTCGAGGTATGAGTTGACGAAGCGTGAGGAACCTTGTACGATGCCGATCTGTTGATAATGAGCTGGATACCACTGTAGCCAGTGCAGTCTTTCACGATGTGAAAAGTCCGTAGTATTTACCCTAATTACATGTCGCGGACGAGATCAACTGTGGCACAGTGAAACGAACCGCCGAGACTGTTGACATGCTGAAAGGGGCATAGGATCGGCTCCATGTTAAACTTGCACTTAACCCAGTGGGCAAACTGTATGTCGTTTTCCTCCACAAAGATACGCCGCTCGTCGAGGCTAAATGCATTGAGTACCAGCCAAGGCGAGCACATATACATGGGTGGGCGGTGGCTCTCCCGGCGTTGTGGTGCGTAAGGGTAAGGGTGTAGTTCCCAGGTGTCACAGGCGAAGATGGCATGCCGCCGAAGTTCCTCCTCGGTGACGCGCTCAGGGTTGTACACCAAAACACCCTCCCGAAGCGGTAATATAGTTGCGTCAATATGCATGGCATGTTTGTCAATTGTGCGGAGAATTTCGACAGAATAGCCCTCGGGCACAATGGCTCTTAGATACTGCACGCCCTTCAAGTTGGTTACGTGGCTGAGCTGTCCAATAATCGTCTTTCCGAAACGGAGGAAGTCAGCCGTGTCAAAGGCCGGCCTGCTGTTGTTGATGGCCCACTTCGTATCATCCTCGTTGCCGTTGCTGTTATTGTTGTGTTTAGAACCGCCGTTACTCACGTCGCATACGCCATCATAAATAGAATCGTGGCCCTTGATGACGGGTGCTCGATAGATCCTCCCTATGCCGTTGCCATTTCTTAATTGGTTTAGGATATCCGAGTATCCTAACTTGATCTCGTCTCGGCGACAGCGCCAGGCAAAATGCGCTTCGATCAACGTATTGCCAACTGTCATGAGCCCGTCCCGGGGCATAGCACCCGTATAGCCACCTATGTCGGACCAGTTTATTTCTTTCGGTCGATAGACACGTACACTGTGACTCTGTAAAAGGCGGGCAAAGTTGTCTAGCTCCCACCGGGCCTTGGCCACAATATTAGCCGGGAACGGGTTCAATGGCCTGAACTCGGCAACATAGTCGGCTGGCATGGTCGCTGCTATCATGTGACGCGGCTCAGACGGAAATACTGAGTGCTCCGCGCGACCGACAATGACGGCCCTCAGGGGAGACCACTCATTGTCTGCTGAGAGAACGAGCGTTTCAGCCACCATCTTTAGAAAGAGGCAGTGGATTTACGAGGGAGATGGATGGTAAACGTACCTCCGCACTTTTCTAGCAAACCCGGCTAGCCGAGCGGGGTTCAGCTCGTCCTGTACTCCACACCCTCCCGGTTTCTGCAAGCAGAATAGGAAATGCTTAACGGTTTCTCTCATTTGTCCACGTGGACATTGCCGTGACAGTTCTTTGTGATTCACAGCAAGGGATCCACAAACCCATCGCATACTCTATACGTGGACCAATGAGTGCACGCGTTCTAGGACGTAGGGACATGCAGACGCGGATTAAAACCCTGTATAAATCAATAATAACTTATGTACTGTAACATTCCTGCAGTCGGGATCGTCTGCAGGGGTTAGTCGGCTACCGGCGGAGTAACTAGCGGGGCGGACGCAGTCATGAATGTATACGTATATAAGTCGGGCCGTCTGCTAAACTCACGCGGCGCAGGCTGTTCCTTTAAGCGGCTAACTACATTTAACGAGCAAACGCCATCAACTAATTCGCAAATGGACTGCAACGATGAATTCTACGACGAGATCCAACCGGTGATTCCGCGGCCAAACCAGATGAAAGTCCTCGTTCTAGGATTGCCGCGGACGGGTACCACATGAATGTACACTCCGCTATCCTAATTAGAGCATGCAACCCTAACTTGGGCGATCACAGCTCTTTGTGCCGCCCTAAAAGTATTGGGCTTGAATGCGTACCACTTTAGTGAAATATCGAGAAACAAGAACAACAAACATTTTCAACTCTGGTTAAAGGCTGTACAAGCAAAGTATGACGGCTTGGGGGAACCATTTAAAGGCGAGGACTTTGATCGTATCCTTTGGAACTACGATGTACGCCCTCCCGTTCTTATATCTCTAAAACCATTTTATTCGAATGTCCTCTGCGAGCGCTCATGGACTGCAGCATCAAGTATCGACCGCTACCTCTTAATGGTTATACTGTATCGCCTATGTCACCGAGACTGATGTGTAATGATTCTGACTAGGCTGTCACGGACGACCCATGCTGCCTATTTATCGAAGAACTCATCGACGCATATCCTGAGGCGAAAGTCATTCTCACCGTACGTTCTCGCGAAGAATGGCTCCAGTCCATGCGGAAGACTATTCTTAAAATACTCTCCTGGAGATCCTGGCCTATCCTCTGTCTGTTAGATGAGGAATTCATGGGTCCCTACCAGGCCCTCCTTAAGCGTACGACCTCTATCTTATCTCAAGGCCACCTGCCTTACAAGCCATATGCCTATCCGGCTCTCCTTGAGTCATTCGATAAGCATAATGATAATGTTCGCCACGCCGTACCGAAGGAGAGGTTTCTAGAGTTTTATCCGAACCAAGGCTGGGATCCATTATGCAAGTTTTTAGACATGGCAGTGCCGGAGGGCAAGTATCCGCATCTCAACAATGCAAATGATTTAATGCGGCTTGAACACTCCTTATATTGGGCGAGATGGCATTGGGTGGCGCAAAAGATAGCTAGGAAAGCCGGCGTCGTAGTCTTAGTATTACTTGCTGCGCTATGCGTTGACTGGACCTAGTAGCTATAATCGAGCGCAATTTCAAAGTATAGATTAATTATTAGGATTTACAATTCAGACAGGATTCTATATATTATAAGGTAATTGCTATACCGGCATAAATAAATAGCTATACTAGTATAGCTCTTATATAGGTATAGCCTATAAAGCCTTTAATTCGCTCTATTTATTTCTTAGTTTATAGGTATATCCTCGTAAAGGCGGTAAAGCTAAATCTCTTAATAAGGCCGGATCTTTAACTAAGGCGAATACTAAAATAAAGTCTGGTTTATAATAGAAAACAAAGTTAATTTTAGTCCGCCCTTAAGGATAGCTATCTATATTTTTATTCTCTAACTACTATAAAAGAAAGAGCCTCCTAAATACTATTAAGTAGCTCTTATTAATTTCTTCGCCTATAAGTATTAAGCTATATCTTCTATCTATTAGTATATACTCCTATAGTTCGCTTAGCTCTTAGAATAGCTAGCTAGCTATACGTTTAGTACTAGGATAATAGACTAGCCTAGTATATAGCTTAGCTATTAATCTATCGACTAACTCTTAGAGTAAGCCTAGCTTATTTAGGTCTAGGTAGGGTTAACTTATTTAGGCGTCCTATTAGTCGACCTTATCTATACCTTAGCGCCTAGCTTACTAGCTTTTTAGCTAGCTAGCTACTTAACTAGCTACTTACCTTAAAGGCTAGCCGTGCTAAAATAGTCTATATAGTATTCTTCGGTTAACTATATAAAGCGGTAGCGATCTTAGGGTTAAGGATTTATTAGTATTATCGCGAAGCGTAGCTTAATTCTATAGGTCTTAGAGATATCCCTTAGTAAGAGGGATCTAGGAAACTAAAAACACTAGTATAGAAGAAGGAAGAAGGAGCTAAAAGGAGGTATAGAAAGGAGGGTAAGGGTAAGAGGGGAAGTAAAAGTAGCGATAGCTTCTTATAAAAGTAGCGAGAGATAAGATAGATATACTAGTAACGGCTAAAAAAAGAAGGGAAAAACTAGTAAAAAGCTTAGTAGTTAAGAGGATATTAATAGCTTCTTTAAGTAAGATCTTCTTTATAAATTAAAGAAACTAAAGGGATTTAAAAAGGGGCGTTAAATAAAGGAAAGAAAGATAATTAAGGTAAAATAATAATAACTCCCTTACTATAATTATTACCTTTTAGAGAATTAAATAACTTTGCCCTACCTATCTAACCCCTTACTACCCTTTTTACCTTTATATATTTTATATATACTTTTTATATCTCTCTTTATAAGAGTTATAAGCTTAAGAGGGGATAGTAACCCCCCCCCTTATAACTTTTAGTTAAGCTATATAAGAGCTATACTTAAGTAGGCCTATAGTTCGAATCCTACTAGCACCTATATTAGCTATTTAAAGGGGGGAATTTAGTAGTTAGTTTAAGTATCCTAGGTAGGCTTAGTATCCCTAAAAGTATATATTAAAAAGTAAGATATATATATTAATTATAGTATACTTATTAAAGCATATGTTTTACTTTTACCTATATAGTATAATAGTCTTTATAATAAGTATATATCTTAAGAGTATAGATCTTATAAGTACTATTATAAATAAACCTCTTAGTAAAGTTTATACTACTCCTTAGCTTTATATAGATCTTATAATAATAAGGTATACTAAGCTTAGTTAAAACTAAGTAGTTCTTATTATAATTCTTAAGAAGGTTAAGAAATAGACTCTTTTTTATTAGTATTACCTTTCTTACTAGCTAATATTATCTTATAATAAGCTTAAGATACTTTAAAGAAAGTACTATTTAAAGTTCGCTTAAATACTTAGAGCTAGTTCTTATATATTTTTCTATATTAAGTATCTTATTTACTATATAAGTATTATTAAAATCTTATATTTAATATTTTACTATATCTTAAATAGCTTTAATAGGATAGTAAAAATAGCTTTATCTTATAAAGAGAGAAATAAAAAGTATATATAAAATATGTAAAGGTAAATTTAAAAGTAAGAGGTTAGAAAAGTAAAGTAAATTTATTTAATTCTTATAAAGGTAATAATTATAATAAGGGAGGAATTATTATATTTTCTTAATTATCCTTCTTTCCTTTATTTAATAGCCCTCTTTATATCCCTATAGTATTTTATTTAATAAAAAAGATCCTACTTAAAGAAGCTATTAATATCCCCTTAACTATAAAGCTTTTTATTAGTTTTTCCCTTTTATTCTAGCTATTACTAGTATATCCGCCTTATCTCTTACTACCTTTTTAAGAAGTTATCGCTACTTTTACTTTCCTTTTTACCCTTACCCTTCTTTTTATACCTCTTTTTAGCTCCTCTTCTTAGCTCCTTCTTCTTTCTTTAATACTAGAATTTCTAGCTTCTTAGGTCCCTCTTTTTAAGGGATATCTCTAAGAATATAAATTTAAGCTATGCTTTATAATATACCCCCTTAGCTATAGCTTTCCCCTTAAAGGTAAAGCTATATAATTAGGCTAGTAAGTATATAAAGGAAGTCTTAATTTATACTTATCTCTTACTTAAGAAATCTAGTTTTATTAAGCTCTTTTAGACCTACTTTAGGATTAAGGGCCTAAGGAGGAATTAAGTCCTATAAGAAAAGGGGTCTCCTTTGAAGATAAGTCCTTTAAAAAGAGGGCCTTAAAGAAGAATAAGTCTTAGTTAAGCTAAGGGCCCTTTATAAGAATAAGTTTTAATTCCTCTCTTTAGCTATAGACGTTTCCTTTCTTATATATATTAGTAGATCCTTTTATAGACTCTTAAGGCAGGCTTTTAAGGATTGCTTTTCTTAGACGTCTTCTAGCCTTATTTACTATAAAGAAATAGCTAGCTTTTACTTTAGTAAGGGCTTTATAAGACCGTTTACTTTTATTAATACTATTAGTACTTAATAGATAGAAATTAGTCCCTTTTAGACCTCTTAGCGTAGCTAATACTAATAGATATTAATATACTATAGCTAGGTTAATAGCTTACTATTTTCTTTTATAAGAATTTATATAGTCTATATATTATTATATTTTATAGCTAGCGGTAATAGAACTTATAATTATAAAGATATTAAAAACTAGCTAAGGAAAATAGCTTCTTTTAATACTTTTAAAAGAGCTAGTAGCTCTACCTTTATACTTTAAGTTATAGTAATAGCTTACTTTAAAGCTCTCTATATATACTATAAATAAAAGAAAGATAAGGTAATTAATTAATACTATTATAGAGTAAGTAGAAGTATATATATAGGTACTATTTATAGGATAATATTAATAAGCTATATAGATCTCTCTTATATATAGCTAGCCTATATATATATATATAGGATCCGGCCCTCTATATATAACTATATAGCTTAGGCCGTAGCCTAAGCCTATAACTTATAATAGTTAAAGACTCTTATATAATACCCTCCCTTAAGCGCGGCGCGGCGTTACTTAATTAATAGCTTCTATACTATTAAGCCTATACTACTAGCTCTACCCTACCCTTTCCTATTAATTATACTAGCCCTACTAGCCCTATTATCCCTACGCCTATTAGCCTAAGTAGCTAGAACCGGGCTCTATACTTATTAGCTAGCTAGCCGTTTAAATAAGGGCATAACCTATTATATACGCCCCTAGGTAGCTAGCGGCCGGCCCGGACCTATATAAGCGTTAGGTTGCCTTTCCCTTTAGCCTTAGGTAGCTTCCTCTACCTAGGGGTATATAAGGTAGCATCCCCCCCTTCCTTCTTCCTTTCCTTCTCCTCCTTCTTTAACTATAATAGTAATAGTAATAAGTAAGTTCTACTCTACTTAAGGCATTAGTTCGTTCTTAGCTATATAGGCCGCTTTATTAATATATACTTATAGTAATAGCTATAGTAGTAATAATAGCCCTAATAATAATAACTTTAATTAATAAGTTCTCTACTTTATAGAGCGGGAGGCTATAATCTATAATACTAACTTCTATAATAGATATATCTACCTCCCCCTCCCTTACTTCCTCCTTCTTAGAGCGTATAGAGTCGTTCGTCGACGCTATACTAAGCACGGCTAATAACGGCTCCGCCGCTACCGCTACTCCTACCCGCGCCCCCGCGACCGCGCCTACCGCCGCCGCCTCTACCTTTACTACGCTAGCCGCCCTTATATTGCCCTTTTATATAATAACGCTATCCCCGCCGCCGGCTATAATACCTAGCCCCTCTACCCTTACCTCTACCTCTACTACCTATATAAGTCTACTACCTAGCGAGCGTAGTAGCTATTTTCCGCTAACTTCTTAAAGTATAAACGCTAAGTATAGGCTAAAGCTACCCGCGTAGCCCCTTATATATAGTACGCGTCGTAGGAGCTCCCTTACGCCGACTAAGTTAGGCGCCGCTATAGCGGTAGTTATTACTAGTACGCGCGCGCTAGCCGCGCTTATAAGGCGGCGCCTCTTATCTTACTTATTATAGCGTTAGCTTAAAAGGCCGGCGCGTATAGGTAGGCACGGGGGGCTACTAAGAAGCGCCTTACTACCGCCGCCGCCGCTTACTATAATCTCCGCGCCCTTAAGCGCTAGGGCCTTATCCTTAAGTAAGTTCCCCTTCTCTAGCTCTTTTACTTCTATTACTAACTCTCTTAGTACTAAGGATACTACCTCTATTACCTTATCGGCGGTCCCCTTAGCCGTGCCCGCCGCCGCCCCCGCCGCTACTACTAGCCGGGCCCCTCTTACTATTAGAGCCCCCGGAGCCGCCGCTACCGCTAACTAGCTCGCGGGCCTAGAGGGCCGCCTAAGCGCCTTAGAGAGCGCCGCCGCCGCTAATAAGGTATAGGAGGATAATAAAGATAAGGATAAAGATAATAATAAGGATAAGGAGTAGGTCTAAGTAGTCTAAGGGCTCTACCTTAAAATAAACGCTATTATTATCTCTACTTATATTATTAAGCTTATATTATTATAACTACCTACTCTACTTTACTTACTTTAT